GATGAGGCTTTGGGCAACCTGGGCTAGTGGGAGGTGTCCCTGCCCATGGCAGGGTGTGGCACTGGGTGGGCTTTAAGGTCCCTTCCAACCCAAACCCTTCTGTGATTCTGTGAATTAACGCCCCAAAGGGAAAATCTTTAGACACAGGAGGGCAGATGCAACCTCAAAGCATCAGCAGTTGTTAAATGAACCAGTTAGTAACAGTCAAACCCACCCCTGTCCTGCTCTGTAAATGCGGCAGTTTGTTGGCGACGCAGACTTCAGCCTTTGAGAAGAGGTGATGACTCCTCAAACACCGCAGAACCGCGCCGGGATCCACCTTCCGTCCGGTGCGGATGGCAGACACGCACCTGCGCAGAACAGGAAAAATAACATTTGCAAAGAAGAATTATCTTATGGAGTTTATTCTCCAAGCCAATAACTCTTCCTCCAAAGCACCATCCATCAGGCTGCACCCAAGCGTAACTACACCTTGCCGAACTGGATGCATTCAGTGGTGAGGCTGCAAGATTTGCATTTCCAACCTGTTCTTGTGCCTCGAGTCATTTAGACAAGCAATTCCCACTTCTCTTACAAAGACATGAGCTTCAACACTTAGCTGCATCAAGCCCTTAGGCTGCAAGTTCATCCTGGCTGTCCTGAAGCCTCCTTCCAGAAGATGGATCTACCTTGCTCTCAACCCAATTTGACTCTTCTTGCACCATTTAACTGCCGTACAAAATTGTCCTCTAGGCTACAGAGATCTGAACTGAGCGCTTGCTTTTATCAGGGACCCATCTGGGGCTTGGGCTGTGGCTGATAAGTCAGCGTGGGTTCGGGAAAGCGGCCTTTCAGGAGAGGAAAAGAGGAAAATCCTTTGGAGATGGGAGGGACCAGGAAAAAGACGTCTAACAAGATATTGTATTTTAGACCTACCTCTACAAGATATTGTATTTTAGACCTAGCTCTACAAGATACTGTATTTTACATCTACAAGATATTTATATTTTAGCTAAACCCAGGAGATGCTGAGACTCTCTGAGATGTTGGAGATGGAAAAGCAGTGCTGACATGACAGATCCTGAAACATAAAGGGATGCTAAAAGGGACTCTTAAAAGTCTCTCCCTTTCCAGCGTAGTCACCCTGCAGGAAGCAACCACATAATGTCTTCTCCCAAGCTTGTTGTTGGGTGCCAGAAGGCACCAAGCGACAGGACAGCCCAGCCTTTAGAGATTTTGTCATCTAACACTTGGAGCTCCTGGCAGCTTCTCTCAATTGCTGTCCCCAACTTGGCTGTGCTCTGCTCCACCTCCAAAACCTTCCTTTGAGCCTCCAAATCCAGCCTATGGAAAGCCTGCAGCTGCCTGCTGATACCCTGTTGCTCAGACTCTCCTCACCTCTTTCCTCCTTTTGTGCAAAAACCATCTCCCTGCGCTCCAAGAGGCAACACCATCCAAGCCAAAAGGTCACCACCAAGCCTGTTCTTCTGCTCTTATCATAGAATCAGAGAACGGTTTGGGTTGGAATGGACCTTAAAAATCATCGAGTTCCAACCCCCTGCCATGGGCAGGGACACCTCCCACTAACCCAGGTTGCCCAAAGCCTCATCCAACCTGGCTTCCCAGTCCATGTCCAGCTTCTCCATGTCCATGTCCAGCTTCTCCATCTCCTCAGACATCAGTACAAGGTTATTCCCACCCCAGGCTTTGCAGCCTCTTCATCGCTTGCCATCAAAATCAGGGAAAGTGCGAGACTTTGGAAGCCACGTGCTCAAAGCAGGGATGACTTCAAAGTTTGGTCGTTTGTCCTGTTGAGGTCCAAGTATCTCCAAGGATGGAGATTCCCCACCTCTCTGCACCAGTGTTTGACCACTCTCCTAATATCTAACTGGATTTCCTATGCTGTGTCTTGCGGCCATTGCCTCTTGTCCTCGTCTTGCTCTCTAAGCCCCTCACTAGGCAGGGGAAGACAGCAATTAGATCCCCTTTCCACCTTTTCCACAGATTTCACGTGTTTGTACATCATGTGCTCCCAACACAACAAAGGAGAGGAAAGGGAATTTTTTTTTAACCTATTTCTAGAATCTTACTAATCATTTCTACTGTTCCTTCTTCATCTTCCTGTACATCTCCCACCTGGTTAGAAGACAAACCCATTTCTCTCCTGGAAATTCAGAGGATAGAATGGAAGAAGACCCAAAGCAAGGAAGGTTTGAGGATCTACAGGTGTAAAGTCAAGTGCTGAAGTGGACTCACCTGATCAGCCCCAGCACACATCCTTCCTGCTCTTTGGTGATGGTGAAATCCTGCAAGACCTGTTCGACGTGGCGCAGGGCCGTGTCCTCCTTCATTAGGTACTGATGGTAAAGCTTCTTCCAAGGAATGAACTGGAACGTGAAGAATATATTACATCTTTCAGCTCACAGTATTGGAAAATAAATTTCTTCTGGCAATGAGCTCATCAACGTGATTTCCAAAGAAGACCTGGAGTTCAAAAAGTCCCCGTGGATTGATGGAAACAGGTATCTAGCGTGAGATGGGGAAGGAAAAAAGAAACGGAGGAAAGAGAGAAACACCTGTTCCTGCAAACGTGTCTATAAAAGGCATGCACACCGTGCTGAGAAAGCGCCGTGTGCAGGACGCCTCCTGCCCAGTGTCCAGCGTTACCCATCCACATTTACCCAAAGAGCATGAACAAGAATTTTGCAAAGTCTTACAAGATGTTTTTTCCATGTATGGGGAGAATCCATCAAGGGAAATTACCCCAATATTGATCTTCTCATACAGGTTGGAATATGAAGACGCTGCTGTGGTCCTGAAGACCAAAAAATGACAAAAGGCCTCGTAAGAAAGGATGTGGGCATTAGGGAACAACAAAGCAAATGTCATGGAGTTCAACACGGCCAAGGGCAAGGTCCTGCATGTGGGTCGGGGCAACCCCCAGCACAGACACAGGCTGGGAGGGGAATGGATGGAGAGCAGCCCTGGGGAGAAGGACTGGGGGGTGCTGGGGCTGGGAAGCCCACCATGGACACGGAGCTGCTGGAGCGGGGCCAGAGGAGCCACGGAGATGGTCCGAGGCTGGAGCAGCTCCCGTGCGAGGACAGGCTGAGAGAGTTGGGGGTGTGCAGCCTGGAGAAGAGAAGGCTCCGGGGAGACCTTCCAGCACCTTCCAGTGCTGAAAGGGGGCTACAGGAGAGCTGGGGGGGCTCTGGATCAGGGGGTGCAGGGACAGGACCAGGGGAACGGGTTTGAGCTGGAAGAGGGGAGATGGAGATGAGATCTTGGGAAGAAATGTTTTCCTGTGCGGGGGGTGAGGCAGTGGCCCAGGGTGCCCAGAG